AGAGATTATCTGTATTACTATATGCTCAGTGCCTGACTCAGTTTGGCACAAGCGAGGTTATAAATAAGTTTTTCTAAAATGAATGCTACCCATTCCAGAGCATCTAGGAGATGTAATAATTGAAATGCTCATGTGATTTCCATAAATATATTATTTAATCACTTTATTTGACCTTCTTAACATCATTATTTACTTAACATCTCCAAGAGACTCTGTAGTGCTTCTCATGTATGACAATTTGGTAACTTATATGCTGGATAATTTAAGGGAACAGTATATTATCAACATTATCAATGTAACTTTTCTTCACTTTTCCCTCTTCCTCTTCTTCTCCTTTCTTCCTCATTCCCTTCAATCAGTCCCTCTTTCCTCATTTTCTTCTTGAGCAATGACATCACAGGTGTGGTCACAACACCTGGCTTCTTGTATTGTTTATAACAAAAACTTCACCAACTGGGTCATTCCGCGTTTCTAAGTCATAAGATTCACTTCAATTCTCTATAAGGTGCTCATATATTCCTAAAGCCATATCATATCCAGGAACACACAATCTTTGCTCCTGCCAGTTAACCTGGATTCAGTGTTTGCCTCACATGCATGTGGTTTATGCACTTATTTTTAATTTGTAATGAGTTTGAACACCAGAAACTGTATTATTCTCTAGATGGGATAGCAATAAATCTGGATGCACATCCTACTCGCTGCTTTTAGGCAGCATAGTGTTCATATGTTTTGTCATGTTACTCTAGTTTTGATTTTTAGATGGCCACAACAAATTCATGTAGGGAAGTCTTCTATAAAAAGCCGTTGGAACTTAACTGTTGTTTCTCTAGCAGCCACTGTAATGAGTTAAAGAATCGCATGCACAGTGGACATCTCTACACATCAGAGTTGTCTGCAGACTTAAATAAATCAGTTAAGAAATAGGCATGACGAGCCATTCTGTGAGACTGCAAGTCCATCCCTGCTCAGTGTACGAACAGAGAATGTAAAAGAGCATGCTTCACAGATAGAAGACAAAACCAATCACAAATGTACTCAAGCATGGATAACAATTTAAAGGAGGGATGGGTAGCAAGCCTTTTAGGAAAATAGAAATGCCTTCTGAATATATGCTGAAATGGTTGATATACTATCTTAAACTTGTCAGATTGTATGTGTTTACAGAAGAGTTATAAGAGAAAGAGCGCAAAGCCCTTACGTCATGGCTTCCTGAGTTCATGTATTTAATAATTTCAGTAAGGTGTATTTGTTCTGCCCTTAGACATCTGAATTGTGGGGACAAATTTTCCAAGAAAAGAAGCTGTTCAACTTTCTCTAAAGATGATGCTTTTGCTTTATTGTAACATCATTCATCTTAGTAACTCTTCTATTGCTGTGATAAAACACCATGATCAAAACAAATTAAAAAAAAATTCATTAGACCCATGATTCTGGAGAGTTAGAGTGCAGCTAAGGCGTGGGAGCAGCAACAGATGAGAATTTACATCTAGAACCCCAAGTATAAGGCTGAAACCTCACAGCAGCTCACTTGTGACACACCTCCTCAAACAAGGCAACGCTACCTAATGATTCCCAAACAGCTCCATCAACTGGAGACCAAGCATTCAAACACATGAGCTTTTTTTTTTTAATTTTATTGGATATTTTATTTACATTTCATATGTTGTCCCCTTACCCCATCCCCCACCCACCCGGGAACCCCCCATCCCCTTACCCCTCCTCCTTCTTCTCTGTGGATGTAACCCCCATCTACCCCCCCACTCCCACTTCCCCACCCTCAAAATTCCCACCCCCTGTGGCGTCCAGCCTTCATGAGGTCAAGGATCTCATCTTCCACCTATGCCCAGCAGGGCCCTCCACTCTTACGTATTCAGCTGAAGCCCTGGATCCCTCCCTAAGTGCTCCCAGGCTGGTGGTTAGGACCCTGGAAGCTGTGGTTGGTTGGTATTGTTGCTCTGATTCTCCTTCAAACCACCACACTACTCTTCTTAACAGCCTGGTTTTGTTTTTGTTTTTGTTTTTTTTTTTCTGTCATTGAACTATGACTGTTTGGGAAACTTAACAAATATTTTGATGGTACTTGTGAGGAAGCATACTATTCATAGACATGAACATCTTCGTGACATACCTGATTAATTGTTTTGTTGTTGTTGTTGTTGTTCTTCAAGGACCATGACAAACAGTCCTTCAATAACAACTTTCTTAAATCAGTAAAAGGCCTAGAATCCACTTTGCAAAACCTCTAACAATATTAGGCAATAAGAATTCCTCAAGGCCACCTCTGGCCATAGCAGATGATTTAGAGTTCTGTGGTTTCCTTTCAAATAGGAAAGGTTCAATGCTTGTGGAATTGAAGTGAAAGTACAAACCTTCCTCAAGTCATTTACAGATGAACCATGAAAGAAGGTTAACCCAGAGAATTATATAATAGCCCTTACTTTATCACTCATAGATATTCAAAGCTTAACTCCCTATAAAACAGTGATATTCTTTTAGTCATTTATACCTTTCAAGTCTTGCTCCTGCTAAGTTCAAGAGCAATAGTAAATTAATTCTGCCAAATGCTGACAATCACATTTCTATTTCTTTAGTGTAACTGAAACTTTCCTATCAGCATATTTCATTAAGACATGAATAGAATGTGTGCTGTATTTCCATGCCTGCTTGCTGCAACTGGCATCCCAAACACTCTCTCTCTCTCTCTCTCTCTCTCTCCTCTCTCCTCTCTCCTCTCTCCTCTCTCCCCTCTCCTCTCTCTCTCTCTCTCTCTCTCTCTCTGTGTGCACATGTGCATGTGTGTGTCTGGTGTGTCTGTGTGTGTGCGTGTGTGCATGTGTGTGCTCTAGCAATTCATTGAGCACAAGTGTGCAGTCATCTGCCCTTTAATGGCCTCTCAAAGCGGCAGACCAAATGGTTTCCTGAAGGTCAAGTCTGATTTAAATTGTGATGAATTAGAAGATAATTCTGCATGATTGAATATTAATACAGAACAGTGATAAGTAAGGCAGTTTAAACCTTAATGAGCACATTAATGAATAGGACAAAATGTTTTTCTTTTCACCTCATGTAAAAGTTTAAAAGTGCCAACATGGATGGTTTGTTAATTTTTGATAGCTGCCTTTTCCTAAGAGTATTTACTTGGTTAAGGTGTTAATGGTACTTATTTGATGCTTAAGTTACTACTGACTTGATAAACTGTCAAAACTTGTTATCAAGTGGCCAAGGCAGTTTTATATAAATTACTAATAAATATAGAGGATAAAAAAAGCAATTAACATCTTCTAAACTATACCCACTGAGATAAGCATTCAATTAGAAATTTCATTATTTCTACCGTCTATTTTATGTTGAATACTGAATTTTATTGCCAAATACCTGACAGTCAAGTTGGAAGCAAGCCCCATCTGTCAACTTGTAACAGCTTTGGCTGTTTGAATCTGTTACATTGTGATGTTTCTCATGAAAATTTAATGACCATAGTAGATTCAAAGGGGTTCTGTGCAAGGAAGGGGGCTGGATAGAATTTAATTACCCTTATTAAGACTAAGAAAGAAATTCTCTTTACATACCTTTGTAGATTAATATGCAAGAAATGTATTCATTGGTATATACTTGTGTGTATGAAAAGGAGGCTCTAAAGTGTCCTTCTAGAGCCAAAACAGAAAGAAAGTAGATGCAAATGTACTTGTCTGCTTGGGAGGAAAAGTCCATGCTTCAAGTTACTTCCAAGATGAGGGCTTCATTTCCCATAGATGGCTATTCAATCAGATTCCCTAGGGAAGTGCCTTTAGTAAAGTACCTGTGATGTGGTACATAAATGTGCCTGACTTTTTGGCCTGGCTCTTTGGAGAGATACTTATGTGAAGGGGAATTATTGATCAGCAAAGCAACATTGACACATTTGCAGTCAACTGGTAGATATACCCAGTGGGAAGATATAGTGCTCTGTGGAATGTACACCACTCAGGAATCCCAAGATAGGTGTTTACAATTACCAATCTAATTTGGTTGCTAGAAAATGAAAAATAACCACCTTAAGGTTAAGATTTGTTTTCAGAGATCTCATTTCTAAATGATGAAGACAATCTGTTGCACTTTTGAACAGAAAAAGTCAGTTACTTTTAATATTTGAAGCAGAATTTTTGGTCAATAGCTGTGAAGTAAGATGTTTAATAATATATGCACTTCAGAATTATTGATTTCTCTACTTTTTTGTTTATTTTTTGGTTTCTTCAAATAACAGTAGAAGTATGCCTTACATATAAATGTATTGGCAAAACCTATGAAGACATAAAGTATACTTCGATAAAATTCAATTAAAATAGATTTTAAATTAGTACAATCGTATTCTCAAGGTACTTACTCCCTAGCTCAGCTTTAATTTTTAATTTTCCTTTTGAGATTTGACAAATCATTTTGAAAGTTCTAACCACTGAATCTGACACTTGTCTACTATAGACCTCTACTTGGCTGAGGATGGATAGGAATGTGAATATTTGAAGAAACACAGTATGATACTACTTTATCATTCAACTTAATTATGTTTCATTAAAATTAGCTGTTATTAGTTTATTCATTTGTTTTACTTATATATCCATTCTAGCCTCTACATACCTAGTCTGACAAGAAATATATTCCCCTAAATGCAGGTGTCAAACTCAAATGGACACAGCTTGGATACCCAGAGTGTGTATTTTGAATTATTACTCCATTAGCACTGGTGTGGCATTTACCTGCCCATCTGTGCTTCTGGAGTACTCCTGTAAACCCTCACCATAGTCTACACCACACAATGAGCTGAGTGCACTGCCTTCACACATAGATTGTACACAGCACTGGTTGAGAATAACCAGGCTACTGTGTCCTAACCCAATAGCACAACACTGTATGGTTTATGTTCCACAAAGGTTGAATAAGTAAAGGAACAGATTTACAAAAGATAATGAATTTGCAACATTATCCTTGTTGAAATAATTGTGTTTTCTTTTGTCTTGCAGAGGATCAGATTCCTAGGGGTTTCCCTACCATTGATATGGGCCCACAGTTGAAGGTGGTGGAACGTACCCGCACCGCCACCATGCTCTGTGCAGCCAGCGGTAATCCAGATCCAGAAATCACTTGGTTTAAAGATTTCTTACCTGTTGACACAAGCAACAACAATGGTCGTATTAAGCAGTTACGATCAGGTAGGGTCTTGTCACTGTTTCTTCTAAGTCCTGGACAATTTTTTAAAATACCCTTTTCTTTATTTATTCTTTAATTTTAATTTAATTTTTAATTTTTATTTTTTAGGTATTGATTTATCTCCCTCTTCTCTTTCTCTGTTATTTAATGTGTTGTCCATGTTTGTGAGGTCATGGCCTCATCCAGAATCTGTCTTCCCTTGATGTGATTGGCGGCTTCTGTTTAATCCACATTGCTCACTGCTGTGACTGTATTCTTAATAATTTTTAATTTACTGCTTTTTCTGCGGTATTTGATGGATCCTTTTTCTCTTCTTTCTTCTTTCTTCGTTTTCTTTTGAAACAAATTTATTTCCACATTGGATTTCATTCCAAACTTGCAAAGCGCTCCAGTGGCTATTTCCATATAAAAATGTTCATATTAAACCTGAAAATAATTCAGTTGTACTCAAGTGTATTTTCTGCTTTCTTTTCTACATTTAAACTCATCCAGGTAGCAAACGTTAGTGAGTTTGGGCACATCTGCTTTCTTTTCACTAATACACAATACACAGAAACGTGGATTCCTGAGTGACCAGATGTATTTTTTTTAATGTCCTTTTCTAAGTATTGATGAAAGTGAGGGATGTGATTAACCCCATTTCTGTGTCATTGTTAGTGAGCTTGGCCCAAACAGTAGCTGTGGCAGTATGTGCCCATGCTTGAGGGCTTTGACCCCTCCAGTGACTGGATCTACAGAAGTCTGCTTTGATGTAGACTCCAGCTTTGGCTGTTTTCTTTCTCTTTACCCCAACTCTGTGTCCCGTTCTCATCCCAGGTTATTCCTTTGCTCTCTATTGATTAAAATAGAAAACATTCTAAATTTCTCAGAGCCTGTCCCTAGGCAATTTCACAGAAATGTATACTAATAATCTGTGCTGTGACGTTGGTAATAATATTGATACAAAAGTCTAAGTTGTTAACTGCCTGTCTTCCCAGAATTCTCAGCATTTGACCTGTCCTGTGATGTTAAAGCGTCTTGTTAACTGACTCTTTTGCTTGTTGTCAGCAGAACTGTGTAGATTAGCATTCTGTTATTGTAAATAAATAATTATTCACATGTAACATAGATGATTTAGTATAATAAAGCTTTAACTCTGAAAAATTTGTACCAAATTATGAGGAATATAATAATATTTTTATGCTGTCTTTCTTCTCTCCGTATTTAAATCTCCAGAATCTATTGGTAAGTGCTTAGTTCTGAAGCGCACTTCACCCCCACTAATTTCCATATTCAGAATATGATTATTATTAATAATAATAAAATGCATGGCATGCATTTTACTAACTGTCAGTGTAGGCACCAGATCTCTGTAGTGGCGCACACATGCTTACCTCCACAGAACTATTTATCTTAAGAACACTGTATAAATAAATAAAATAGTACACAAGTTAATCACACAGTTGTACATTGATGAGTAGCATAAGATTCCAATCCTGAGTGTTTGTTTCTAGCTAGTTTGTAGTATTTCCTCAAATAGTATATATATATATATACATATTTTTATATATATACTTAAATAGCTTAGCTAGTATTTTCCTAAACTGTGTCATTAAAAATGCTATATAGTTCTTTTTTTAAGGATACAAAAATTATAAGATATACTTCTAACCCTATGTGATCCCAGATCTAAGAACTCAGTTGCTTCTCTGAAACAAGGCAATTCTGCCTACTATGACCTTTGCCCTCTGTGGTTTAATGCACTACCTTGCTTTTATGATCTAATGATATGATCTAATATATTCCTGTTTACCAGTATAGTAATTCAAGTTTCTTTTAAGACCTTATTTAATCTGTAAATCTAATCGAATTCTTCTCCCCAGCCCTAGCCCCCTTCTTCTCGTACTAATGCTTCTTCTTTCTAATCTTATTTGCATTCATATTATCCACCCAGGTGGTACACCAATAAGAGGTAAGAATGCTGACCTAACGTTCACAGAATGATCTTGCTCATTCTCCCTGTCCTCTCATCTCTCTCATCTCTGTCCTGTTTTCAGATCCATTCCCATAATGTCCATCAACCTGATTTCTTTCCCTCCGTTTGGTTATGATTCGTGATTCTCACCTTGTGGACTTTCCTTTTCCTTTTTCTCTTTGTTTTGTTCATTTCTTTATTTATGAAAACGATTATTTAAGTTGTGATATGCTTCAAAGAAAGCATATCCAGGTCGTTAGACCACAGAGCAGTCACAGCTTACCATCTGTCCCTCTTAATTTTTTTTTCCTTTTCTTCTTCCTTTTTCTTTTTTCTCTTATTTTTTTTCCTTTTTTTCTTCTTCTTTTACCTTTTTTTTGTCCAACTGGAGAAAAAAAAAGATCATTTTTTTCTTCCTTAGCTGTTCTTGTTCTGGACCAAAGCCAGGGCGGTCTGGAGAACAGTGGCAGACATGCAGAAGACAGCCTGGACCGTCTGCTTTTTGTCTTTATCTTTCAAAAGGATTTTGCTTTTGTTCTTCAATTCTTTTTTCTCTTACTGTCTTAAAAGTCAAAGAATGACTCCCCCTTCCACCTGACCCTCCTTCAGTCTGACAGCAGCGCTTTTTTCTCTACTTCTTTTTTTCTTGGATGCTCGTCTCTGGATTTTTGGATCTTCTGTCCTTCAGCCGTGGAAACAGGTTCTCAGTACTCTTGGTGGTATGTGGTATTGCCGGTTTTTCATACTTTGACTCCGTGTGCGTTTCTTTTGTAATTCTTCTTTTGTATTTTTCTTGGGGTTTTGTGACACCACACTGCTAATCCCACAGTGGATTTTGATGGGTGTCTTAGGGGATCTATCCAGAGGTCCTCGAGCAGTGATTGGTTGGCTCTTCCTGGCTGGCCTGGGCCTGGCTTTTGAACTTTTTAAAAACTCCTCTAATGCGAACGCTCTTTGCTTTTCAGCAAATGTCAGAAATGATTGTAAGTTGTGGCAAACCGTCTTTCTTTTCTTAAAAAAGTCTGCATGTCTTAAGGGAGTTTTATTTCTTTAAGTGATATTTTCATAACTGATAATGACTAATTTTAATTTTTTTTCGCTTCGTGCAGCCTTTTTGTGCTCGCTGCCTATTTTTGGCTTTCTTCCGCAGAAGACTTTCTTGAAAACTCAGCCTGGTTTTTTTGAGCGTAACTATCTTTTGCGCCACTTTTGTTGTCAAAATGAAACAAAACAAAACCAAATATTAATCCTTTGTTTTATTTAAAAGCCATACTTCCTTGAAGCAGTCTCACCCATCTTCATTTTATTAGTCTAGGAGCTAAGAGTGCTAATTATGACTAGAAATCTTGCTTGGGATAAAAAAAGAGATATTGTTTCCTTGTGCTAGCATTGATGATGTAAAAAAATAATCTCTATATGTTTTTCTCATCGCATCATTTTCTGTCTGTGCAACTTAGCAAGAGATTGAATCGACGTTGAGTGGACCTTCGCTTTGCAGGGCTTTTCATATTGTTAAGAGGTTTAGCTCGCTGAACCCCAAAAGCCTTCTCTGACCGCTTCTTTGGTGGTATATTTTATATCCATACAGGAGCCCTGCAGATCGAACAGAGCGAAGAATCCGACCAAGGAAAATATGAGTGTGTTGCCACCAACAGCGCGGGCACTCGCTACTCTGCCCCTGCCAATTTATATGTCAGAGGTAGGAATGACATAACCCTGGCATGGCTCTCCATTCAGGCACAGGGGGAGTTGAGATGCCCACAGGGTCTGTGTGATTATGAAAGTATTTAACAAGAGGATTTGGTAATGATGACTGTCCCTGAATCAGTTTACTCTGTAGAAAATTAAAATCTCAAATCTGTTGTTTTTCAAATCTTCATGATGCTTAAGGTTTGTAGATATTTATTTGCATTTTTACTCCTGATTCTCTTTTGACTATACTGACCGACTGTGCTTGGCATTTGTTTGAAGTTGTCTTCGTTTCTTTTACTCTTTTTGTTGTTTCTTATCTTTTTCCTTACAAACCTTGAAATAAGTGCTCGGTGTGCTACTAATCAGCCCTAAGCATGAAGGTGTTTACATCTCCATGATGTCTGCTGTGGAGCTAGGGGCCTAAAGGCTCCAACTTAAGAAAAACAGTTGCTATGTAAAAATAGCACAACTGCATTCCTTTCTCTTTTGCTTAGCTTCCTAATTAGAAAACAGTTTTATATATGTATATGCATTTATATGTCATAAGGTAATGACTGTATTTTAGGGACTAGTATTAGCTGTTCTTGAAGTAGGAATGAATTATAAAAACCCATTTGTGTTTTTTTTGATGAGTATTTAAATGACCACATCTTGAGCTTAGGAATGGCTGTACCTTTCATTTCAGCTGGAAGGTATCCCCCTCTTTCCCAGAGTTGTCAGAGCTAGTCCCTGGTGGGTCTTGTTTTGCTTTGTTTTCTGGTACAAACATTCCTATTCTGGTTCTACAAACCTGAATAATTACAAAAGAAATGGATGGGGGAGGGGTGGTTGCAGCCTGTGAGAGCTTTCAGGTACTATAGAATGGGGTTCCTTAAGAAAATACCTAGCTTGATTTTGAAATTTTGTCAGAGATAATTTTGTGCCCCTGGGGATGCTTTTTTCCTTTCTCTCTGTAGAGTCTTTAGGGGGGATGAGGGTGGGAGTAGAACCTTTTTTTCCCTAAATTCCTTGAGGGCCCCAATCCTTTTTCTCACAATGGTGACCTCCTTTGCTGCATGAGGCATGTATTCCTCTATGGAAAATTTCAAAATGATGCTAGCTATTGTTCCTAATACTGCATTAGTCCATGAGGTATTGCTAACTTTTCCAGCTGGGGTAGGAAGATGAACTAGAGCAATTAACGATGTTCAAGTAGTGGTTGAAAGCCTTGATATGGCCTTTTTACTCTCTCTGTGTTTCCCTTGTTTTTCTCCTTTTCCTCATTTCATTGTGTTCTGCATCAAACCCCCCTACATCCCTCAGAGCTGCGAGAAGGTTGGTGTGTTTTTTACTTTTTACCCACCTTACAAAACTACTACTTAAATCGATAACAAAGAATACAAATGAAATGAATGTAGCTGCACTGTGGTCTTCTTTTGGTCAATGGTATAATATTGCAGAGAATGTTTTGGCCTTGGCTTCTGTTGCCTGCTGATGGTGTCCAAATACAGTGCATGATGGGAGAGAATATACCTGGGTGCATGTGAACGGTAACACTTAACTCTCTATGGTCCAGTGCATTGGTCAGTGTTCCTGCTTTTGTCTCCTCCCCAACTCTTCCCATTTTTCACGCATCTTTTATTTCTGTCTCCTCAAGGTGCCTGCTGCCCCTAGACAATGTTTTGTAACTGTTCCCTGACCCTTCCATTTTTCTTGATATGTTCTTTGATGCCCCAGAGTCTGTGCTGGCCCCTGCTTGCTTCAGTAACCTCTGAGTTGACTGCAGGAGGCATGCTTAGCACTTTCTTTCCTATTACTGTCTCAGACCCCCCCACACCATTGCAGTGAGCCCTCTCCAATCAGAGGATTTCTCAGCCTAAGTTTAGCCAGAGTTCCCAGACAGAATTCCTTACCTTGTTCTTGGGGTTAAGAAGTTGATTTCCAGTCTTTTCCTATAACTTCAGAAAAGCACTGTTTACTATCTGTATTTCCAGAATATTCCTGAAGGTTGCCCTTTTTATTTAAAGTTCTCACAGTGTAAGGTTTTGCCCCTAAAATCCAAGATAGAATGGATTCTCTCACACCTTAGCTTTGTACCATGTCAAAGTACATGTATTTAAACGTACCTGAACATGCAGATTATCTGAAGCAGGAACACTGAACCGTGTTTGTTTGGTGGTGGTTTTTATTTCCTGTGTCATGTTGTTTTAATATGGTTACTCCTCTTAATGTCACATCCTGCTGTGTATTTAAGATTGAATGTCCATCATTTTGAATGTAGACATTAAATTTCTTTTACTGGATTCTGTGGTCATTGATGCTATTTAACCTTATATACAAACTGAATGGAATCCTGAATGTGAACGCCCTCCCCTGAGTCTACAGTCCTTACCTGTAACAACCTCCCTATAACCTGTAATCTTGTAACTTTCAAGTCCCCATCTCAGTAACTACATTCTACCTTCTGTCTTTGTTTTTGTTCTTATTTTCCCACTATTTCTTCATTGTCCTTATCTAGGATTCCAGCCATTCTTTCAATGTTCTACTGTGGGCCTTAAGAGTCCATTTTGCGCATGATTCGCATGACCCAATCCAGTATAATATCTATTGGTATAATGTGTTTCTTCTTCTGTTATTGTCAGTTTCTATACACACAAACACACACAGACACACACACGACAGACACACACACAGACACTGGCATAAACAGACTCATACACATACCACATACAGACACACACACACAGTACATACATGCACACACACACACAACACACACACACATACAAGACAGACACACACAGAGACACTGGCATAGACACACAGATACATACCACATACACACACACACACACACACACACACACACAGAAAGAGACAGAGAGAGAGAGAGAGAGAGGGAGAGAGAGAGAGAGAGAGAGAGAGAGAGAGAGAGAGAGGATACACACCTACCACACAGAAGACACACCCACAGAAGATATACACAGATTTAGACACATACATATTTCTATGTTTGTTCCATCGTTAGTTGAAGTTTTGAGGCTGTATCCCTCTGAATCTGAAAGCAAATAAATTGCTGTGTCAGTGTCCTCAAGGTTATGTCTTCCAGGGTGAGATGTGACTGCCCCATACACACATTCATATCAGCTTCGAGTACACAGAACTGAAGTCAGTCTTGCTACTCACACATGCTGATGACCTTCTGCCACCTAATGAATATACATGCCTGCATAGAATCATTGTTATATGCATGGATGTATATAGTTTGGTGTTTCTCTTATGCATGGTGTTTGTGTACTGTTAATTTGTAAATAGATTTTCATTTTTTTGTGTGGGGCCTAAGTAGGTCTGAATCAACTGTTAGATGACTGTGTCTAAGATATAAGTGATTAAACTAAATAAATGATTCTGTGTATAGACACACCATACTTGTATGGTCTGTATTATCCACAGTTTATCAGTTTATCTTTTTGTTGTGATTTTTGGATAATTTACAGTATGTTTCAATTGTTTATTCATGTCTGTCTGGTGCATGTCATGTGTTTAACAAGCTGCTTCATTCTTGCCTCGAATATGTTATCATGTGGCCTTGTGTTTTATTCCAGTTCGCCGTGTCCCACCAAGATTCTCTATTCCACCCACTAATCATGAAATCATGCCAGGTGGAAGTGTAAATATCACCTGTGTGGCAGTGGGGTCACCAATGCCTTATGTGAAGTGGATGTTGGGGGCAGAAGATCTGACACCAGAAGATGATATGCCAATAGGAAGAAATGTCCTAGAACTAAATGATGTAAGACAGTCAGCAAATTACACCTGTGTTGCTATGTCGACACTGGGCGTCATTGAAGCAATAGCACAGATCACTGTCAAAGGTATGTTCAGCTTGTGCTCTGAAAATCGTACTTATGCTCATCTTAGACCTAGAATTTTAAAATGAATCAACTTATCTCTCAGTGCTTCAACTGTCTAGGGCCTAATCTTGTCTGTGGTATTATATAAAATATTCATGTCTTAGGTAGACAGATTTCTCTCACCTTTCCCTTCCCCCTTGGCCCTCTCTCCCTCCTTCCCTTTCTTCTTTCCTTTTTGAGATATTAGATATTGAATCTAGATGCTGAGTGTTCTATTGCTAAGCTACATCCTCAGCCCCTCCTTAATTTTCAGTTTGTGACAGTGTCTCATTAAACGGCAGAACAGTTTGAATTTACACTGTATCCCATAGAACCCATCAATCTCTGATCACTTGCTTTAGCCCCCTGAGTAAGTTGGATTACATATTTATTACTAGAAGCCACATGCAGATTATTTCCTAAGATATTAGCAGTCTAAATTGGAATAACCATTACAATATTTAGAAGGAAGTCTGATTTAGTCACTGAGCAGACAATCCAGAATGCTACACCAGATCTGCTGTTCCCATAAGATGGATAGCCTGCAGACTTTGTACTGGTCCAGATTTTTGATAGGGGTCTTAAGAAGAATGTTAATAACTGTCATTAAATGCATAAAATATCTGAAAAAGCAGAAATAAGAGAAAATGCTGAAATCAGTATAACCTAATAATAGATGCTCTGTTTGATGGCCCTACCATTAAGAAGCAAAATGCAAATGGATCTGTTCTATCTTAGTTCTGTCCTTCACCTTGCATATATGAATACTCATGAAATACTCTTCTCCAATAAATATACTAAATATAACCAAAGTAGTACATTCTGTGAAAAAAAATTTCAGCAAAAGCGGAGTTGAATATATGTGAATACCACTTTCTTTTACGCAATACTTACGTAATTTTAGAGAACTTACAAATTGGGTCACAGTGAGGGTGATTTGAGTTTCCTGCCAGTGTCTAGAATTAGTGCAAAATGAACTCAATTCATCATGCCATTTTAGAAACATGAATCTAAAAACTGAAGCAAACTTATTATAATTGATATCATATCTGTGATTTATGTGTGTGTATACAGTATAGCATATGACAACAAAAATATACATTATTCATATAGCATCTATGTAATATATCTTATGTATCCTTAAAGTATTAAGCATATTTGTCTTTCTTCACACATCATAGATATACAACATTACCATAAAAAGTATGATAATGCCATCACTCATGCCACCTCAATAAACACAACCTTATTTAAGAATATTTTACTTACCAGGAAAGGTCACAGTGGTCTGCTTTACCAAATGAAAGTCCAGAAGAGTTAAATGGTTTCTTTTTTATTTCTAATTTTAGTAAATTCTCTTTGCTAAATGATGTAATTCTGAAGATATTAGTAATATGCAAATATCAAACCACCTCTTTTCATTATAACTATTTGAGCTTGAGATACTTGAGGTTTGGCAAAGACATTAAAGAATTTGAAAGTGAGAGTAACACCAAGCTAATTAACATATTCACTTTTGTAGCTTTATTTTCCTGAATCTTCCTACCGTCCTATCCTTTCTTACCTCAAAGAATGTTATATTTCATTACATTACAACTTAAAGAAAAAGAAACAAAACAAAATAGGAAAGAAGCCAATGTTTGAGTTTCTTAGCTGTCATCTCAGGGGGTCCTGGGATGCTGGCCTTACACTAACAGGGAACTAATCTGATTATGAGCACTATCTTCTGGGTTGTTTTTCTTTTTATCTTGGACTTATTATTTAGAGTAAAACTTTCAGATTAGGCAACCAGTAAAGATGGCTTATACTCTTAAGCTTTTCTTTTTTGAATTATGTTCTGTTAAAAGGGGAAAAACAGATATCTAAAAGACATTGTTAAAGGAGGAGTGGATGGGAGGTGAAGAGGCAGGGAAGGGACTGAAAGGAGAAGAGGTAAGGAAAACTGTGGTCAGAATGTAATATATAAGAGAATAAATTAATAAAAAATAAATACAGATGTTTGTTGACTAGCTATAGTCTTGGATATGTCTAATGTAGAGTACAAGAATGTTATCATTGACAAAATCCTTTAAAAGCAATTTGTAAATATGTCACTAATTTTCTAAGCAATTTAAATAATTATAAAAAAACATGATTTAAAACGATTATTTCCCTTAAAACTTGTGTATATATGTGGATGTGTGCACATGTGCATTTGTGTGCGTGTGTGTGTTGATGACAAAAAGCACAGACAAAAGACACTGTCATAATGCTTTCTTCATAGTTTTTTAGATAAATTATTTTAGATAGGTTCTTTATAAGTATCTTAGTAAAGTTTTCTATTGCTTTATGAAACACCATGACTAAAAGGAACTTGGTAAAGCAAGGGTTTATTTCAGCTTATACATCACAGTTCATCACTGAAGGAATCAGGCCAAGAAAATCTGTAGAAAGAATTGAAATAGGGTCTGTGGAGGATCACTGTTTGCTGGCTTGCTCATCTTGCTTTTTTACATGTACCAGGACCACATGACCATGGGTGGAACTACTCACGATGGCTGGGTCCTCCTGTAGCAATTATTTATTAAGAAATAATAAACCTGTAAGCTTACCCACTGACCAGTCTTATGGAAGCAGTTTTAAAATTATGGTTTCCTCTTCTCAGATAACTCTCAAACTTGTGTCAAGTCAACAAAGATTGATCCAGAACTAAGATCCACTAACAAATTCATAATGTCTTACAAATAGAAAAGTACTAGGCTAGTAATAGAAATTTAATTTCATATATTCCACACTTAATGTTTATTGGTGTTTATTCAAGCAAGGAATAAGTGGCTAAGCACTTGAAATAAAAATGACAACAATTGCAGTTACTATTTTTGAGAGTCTCAGACACACTGAATGCATATTACTGGATTACCTCATTAATCATCACATAAAATACAGCTGATCAACTGTATAGTACAGCTCCAGTTCTACAGCTTCTCTGGTGTTAACAGAAGGAAAACCAAAAGAAATTAAGTGATTTATCTAGGATGACATAGTAAATAAGTGGTAGATTTGAATACAACCTCCAAAATGTCATCAAGATCTGCTAGTGAGATGGAACCTGGACAACCTCTATGTATTCTACTGTTTTCTTGACTTACTAAGACAGAAGATTTCAACCTGTGGTTCATGACCCTTTGGGGCTCACATATAAAATATTTACATTATGATTCACAACAATAACAAAATTACAGTTATACAACAGAATAATTTTATGATTGGTGGAAACACAACATGAAGAATTATTAAAGGGTTATAGTATTAAGAATGTTGAGAACAGCTGTCTTAGGACATGTTACTTTGTTTGCTTCATCTGCTTAAATCTTCAAGAGGTATATAATCTGGTCAGACTAACTATACTGTATAATGACTGATGTAATACTTAGAAAAGATAGTCATTGTCTTGTTTTCTGTCCCAAAGCCTTACCCAAGCCTCCAGGAACTCCTGTAGTGACCGAGAGCACAGCTACAAGCATCACACTAACATGGGACTCTGGGAATCCTGAGCCTGTCTCTTACTACATCATTCAGCATAAGCCTAAAAATTCTGAAGAACCATATAAAGAAATTGACGGGATAGCAACCACACGCTACAGTGTTGCTGGATTAAGTCCCTACTCGGATTATGAATTTAGGGTTGTTGCTGTCAATAACATTGGGCGAGGCCCAGCAAGTGAGCCTGTGTTAACTCAGACCTCAGAACAAGCACCATCCAGTGCCCCACGGGATGTTCAGGCTCGTATGTTGAGCTCTACCACCATTCTGGTACAGTGGAAGGAACCCGAGGAGCCAAATGGACAGATCCAAGGATACAGAGTTTATTATACAATGGACCCCACTCAGCATGTCAACAACTGGATGAAACACAATGTAGCTGATAGCCAAATCACTACGATTGGCAATTTAGTACCCCAAAAAACATACTCTGTCAAAGTCCTGGCTTTTACCTCAATTGGAGATGGTCCTCTTTCTAGTGATATACAAGTCATCACTCAAACAGGAGGTAAGTCTGATTGATGATGGGAAATAGGGTAGGTGGCTTGGAAAAAAAAAACAGCAAAGATAATATAAGTCTAAGTCATTGAGATGTACATTATACATTTTACTTTCAATTTTGCCTTAATCTATGAAAATTTAGGCAGCATATCACTTTTCTGCTCAGAATCTGTATAAGGGCTACATTATTGCATACAACCTTTATATGTATAAGTATGATACATTGTATATGTATAAGTGAGTACATTACTAATCCTAATTATGCATTAATACATTTTCTCTGGTTTCACTGATACGGTGCACTCATGACTTATTTTTATGGCTGGTGTGACCTTTGTAAGTCCTATGACCCTGTGTGTTTATTTCCTGTCTTTGTGACTCTAAATCTCAAGCATATTTACAGCAGAGTTTGCTTTAATTTACTTTACTGCTGTTACTTGGTTCTTTTGAGCTCGTTCATAAATTGCTTTCCTTGTTATAGAATATGGAAGGAAACTGTAAGTGTATGTTTCACCACAGTTATAGCAAATCTATATTCCTTCATTATTTGGTGTTTGCTGTTCTTCAGTATTTATTTGTTTAGTATATTGATATGCAAGGAAATGCTGTAGACTAGCTTAAGGTTTTCATTGGAAAGTAATAGAGGTCTATGAATATTATTCTACTTTATCCTGACACTTTTCATAAAAATGTCAACTGTTAAGGATTTTTTTATTATGTCCAACAGCTCCATAACCATAAAAATATCAAGAAAATATATGGCGCTTCTATTGCCATTTGAGCTTTTGTCATGTTTTGACTGTAGTGTTGGAGTGACATAATCACAATCTAATTCATAAGGTAAAGCTAAGCTTCGTGAATTTGGATGAGTTTCTTTTTCTGTCAGCTTTTTGTCACTGTGACAAAACATCAGAGTTAACATAAAGGAAGAAATAGATCATTTGAGCTCACAACTTCATAAATTCTAGCCTGTGGTCAGGAAGCTCTGGATCTTTAGCATGAACGCAACAAACACAAAGGGATAAAGTCAGACTGTCAACACAAGAGGGATAGGTTTCCAATTTCTCTTCTTTCAAGGATCATCCCCTCCTAAACAGTCAGCTAAATTCCAGACTGCTAAATGACTAGTGAACAAGGTTTTATTTTTGTTCCTTTGGGAGTAGGTTTAAGTAGTGCATTCTTTAACCCCAGAACTTGGAGGCAGGGGCAAGTAGAACTCTGAAGTCAATGCCAGCCTAGTCTGCATATGGTGTTCCACAAAAGCAAGATTCTACAGAGAACCTCTATGTTGAAAAATCAAACAACAAAACAAAAATGACAAACAACCAAAAAACTAACTTCCATGCTTTTTCTCTCTAAACTTCAGTGTATATGTATATGTATATTCATATCCATATCCATATCATCTCTACCTCTACCTCCTCTACCTCTACCTCTGCCTCTCTACCTCTACCTCTGCCTCTACCTCTACCTCTACCTCTACCACCTCTACCTCTACCTCTACCTCTACCTCTACCTCTACCTCTACCATCTCTATCTCTATCTTTATATGTATGTATCATGGGTATTGATTCTTATGATCTAGCTAGAGGATATGACTTTAGCAGCAACTAAAGAGTGGATCAAAAAAAGATGAAGCAGGTTTAGGGCTTGGGTCCTAAGGCTACTAAGCATAAGAGAAATCAAAGGACACTGGAGATTTCTAGCTACCATCATCTTTATGATGAGGAGGAATTTTCTAATGTGATAGTTTTAGTGTTTTTCTATCTACTATATTTAGTAGGTAAATAAGCCTATAGAGTATATAGTTTATCCATATCATTATTTAAAATTACAAACTTTTTAAAAATTAAAATTAATTTCAATTCTGAACTATTTCAAGTGTTTTGAAAAAAGTTAAAGAACAAGCATTGTTCTTAAAAACAATGTTATACTCAGTCACTAGATTTAGCTAAGTTTTATAACCACAAATTTAAAGCTAACAAGCTAGAATGCTTTAATTTATTTTTAGGAGACAAAGGATTTAACTACCCAAGAAACAAGTTTTTCCCTAAAACTAAAATATGTCAAAATATGCAGATCTCTGAGACTCATGAATATCTTTATATTCAGAATATTGAATTACAGAAACTTATCCTATCCCAACTTAGTGAAAAATGTAAAAGTGGTATTTAAAAAGTATATTTTTGATTTTTTTTATTACCAAAGGACATGAGCTTAGTTCCATGGATGTTGCAGTGTAAGAGGAAATTTGAGTTATTTTAATCCAATAAATTTGCTTTTGGAAGGTCTTGTTTAATTCAGTAACAAAATTAGAAAATGTACTCAAATGTATGATGGTATATTATATAGCTTTTAGTCTCTCTCCATCTCTTCCTGACTAATGGATTTTTACATGAAGACATTTTCAGCAACTTTCCGTAGTATAGCTTGAATACTCATGGAGATGTAAAAAGGCCAAGTAGCAATGCTTGCCAAGGTTAGCAGTTTAAAACACCTCTCCAGGTAGCACAGTGACTGGCTGTGTCCTCTAATCTTCATTAACAATGGCCTGGGATGTTAGTGGCAACTGTCAAATGCCAGGTTATCAGTTCTGATGAGGTTAAGTTAAAGCTAACTATTCTCATTTCCTTCCTGATAATTCCTAGAATCATGGATACACAATGCCACCATCAAGTATTCTTTTTGGATGGTTATTTAAATTCTAAGGAAAACATAATTTTTACTATGCTTTTTGTTTTAGTAAAGCTGCAAATCCATGCCATTCAAAATAACTTAAGTATGTTTATAATTACGTAGAAACCAAAACATACACTTTGACATCTGTGTCTGACGGGTGCTCTTTTTATTTTATTGCCATGAATCCCATAACACCAGCATTCCTCATTTTATTGAAGACAGATACAAAAATGAATAGATAAGCAAAAAAAAAAAACTAGAACAAAGTAATTTTAATAGATAAGTCATTTTGCATTTTATCTAAGATAACTGACATCCTGGTGGATAGAAATTAGATATTTATGTAGTGTATTTCTAGTGGTGGAGAAAATCAAATCATGATCCTATTCTGTGATCAACCAAAAGAGTACTTTCCCTTGTCTGTAACTATTAGTAGAGCTGATGATAATATTGAATATAAAGTATACTTTTAAGATTATTGTATTCTAGAAATATGGGTCACTCCCCTTCATTTTCCATAGCTCTATTTTCTTGTGTAATCGTCACTTACAATTAGTTTAACTTGAAGATATGGAGAATAGATGGATGTTGGCAAGGCAAACATTTATACAGTTACACACAGACACTCTATTTCACATACAACATCTAGGGAGAAAAGAATCAAAGTTTTCTCGAATTGGTTATTGTAATCATATAGGATGACTTTATTTGGGTGAAGGAACACAGACCTGATAAAGAAGACTTAGGAACTACATTTTTAAGGCATTAAAATAAATGTTACTTTAAATTCATGCTTTCTGGCTTGATAAGCCTTAAATTTTGAGTTGAGTCATTTCTGAGCTTTCTTTAGAAAAAACTTCTGATCTCATTTGGAATAATCTTTGGACAAGTCTGCAGACTCCTTTAAGGGTATTTGATGTAGATTGGCCTTAAATTTACAGTGCCTCTGATGACCACCATGAACTCCTAACTCATCTCCTAAATACTGGGATTAGAGATGTACAACACCTTGCCATCTTATTTTTTAAGTATTCTACCACAAACTTTTAAAATTCAAAAACTGTTATAAATGACAACATTGAGGAATATTCTTATAAAGGTTTCTAGAACTTTCTAAACCATTTCATTACTTTATATCTCCAGGCTGATATAAGCAAACTACAAAAAGCCTACATTCTAATGCTCAAAAATCTAAATCTAATGTAAAGCTTTCTGTGAATGATTTTAACAATCAAGAAAGAAGCAATGGATATAAATATAATCATAATAAAATTTAACTTTTTATACTTACATTTACTGACAGTTGACAATATATTGTGTCACTCACAGAGCAGATAATTTACTTTGAATTGTGTTAGGGTTTATTAGATTTTACTTATAAACATTATCTTGTCATTTCACTTAGGTGCTTTTTTGTTGTAACAGTTTCTGCACCAATTAACTGAACATCAAGGATAGGAAACAATTTTCACATTACTAAAACTGATGAGAAAATAAAATGCACATTCTGACTCTTGCTTTCACTGTCATCTGCCAATGTGCGCTCTCTCTCTCTCTCTCTCTCTCTCTCTCTCTCTCTCTCTCTCTCTCTCTCTCTCTCTGTGTGTGTGTGTGTGTGTGTGTGTGTGTGTGTGTGTGTGTGTGTTTAAATATGTGCCTCCTTCTGTTGGCTTTGGCTGTGTTTATACTTACAATACAGTGAGATGAAGTTGTAAATTAGTAGTCTAGTATGGACTCTTCAGTGTCAGTCACTAAATTTTACACAAACACTGATCTCTTCTAGTGAATTAGCAATTCAGATGACATGAGGAATTGTTCTCCTTCCTTAGTTCTTCTTCATTTATTTATATTATATTACAATATAATAATTGTAATTGTAAGCCAGTGCTTGATATTCATCAGTACATTTTTATTCTATTTTAGGATTAATAATTCTTATTTTTTTCTTTCTGGACATTAAATTGTGAAGTAGAATACAACTAACCAAATATAAGAATCATATATAGTTTTATTTATTTATATTTCATCTATTATTTGTTTACCTGTGCACACTGTGTATAAATTTATTTATTGATTTTAAAAATTTGTTTATTTCATTTATATGAGTACAGTCATATAAATGAGTGTATGAGTAGCTGTCTTCAGACACACTAGAAGAGGGCATCAGATCCCATTACAGATGGTTGTGAGCCACCAAGTGGTTGCTGGGAGTTGAACTCAGGACCTCTGAAAGAGCAGTCAGTGCTCTTAATTGTTAAGTCATCTCTCCAGCCCCATGTATATATATTTACGCATGAGTGTGTGCAGTGAATTACTGTGATGTGTGCA